TCATTTTTTTTCAGTCGTAAGTGGTAGTAGCACTCCTAGTAAGCCCAATGGGTGTTGCTGAGTGCAACCTGAGCAACCGGACCGGGAGAGGAATCCTCGGTGGTTCAACTAACTCAAGGTGTGTCTTGAGCAACCGGACCGGGCGAGAAATCCCCGGTGGCTGCCAGTGTGATTGCCCCTTCGAGTGCAGACGTGACTAGACTGTCATTACTACTATTAAAATACTGTCAAAATTGGTAGCTGCAGATTTAATTTCAGACTATTGATGATATTATGCAATGTTAATGTTGTTTGCCAGTGTGTGGTCCTCAGTCGGGTCCGGGGGTTGTGGTGGCAGGGTGAGGGCTTCCCGGTTTAATCGGTTATTTTTGTCCGTCGGTGACCCTGGGGTAAGGGATACGACGAGAGCACACACACAGACACGCTGCAGGCTTTGCTCGAGAATGCCTGTGGCACATAATTTAGTCTTGAAATCCGAATAAACTATAAATTAATAATTATCATGAATTAAATTAGTTCATGAACGTTCTTAGATACACACAGCAATGACAACAACACTACAGACAACTGGGTCACGATGCAATTGTGCAGATGCCTCTAGTCCAAGCAGCCTGCTAAGTTTACTTAGTGTCAAGTTCGACTGCTTATTGCCCCCCAGTCAGTGTGTGAGACTGTCCAGACCACGAGAGAAATCCTTGGTGAATCAACAACCCACTAGAAACTATGAGACACTGAGACATTGTCTGAATCTACGATTGCATACTGGCAACACACAGGAGAATAGCATATTATGAGTTTTTGTAAGTTGTTGACAGGTAGCCATACCTGGAATTCCAACTCCGAAACATCATGCGAACGAGTCAAATGAATGATTCTAATTATTTATCAATTTTCTGACACAAGATTCTATTAGTAATTCAGGCTTCTAATGGTTCATAACACAATATGCTAGAACTGTTACTTAAGGGATCATAATATCAATATTGTTATACCGTGCGAGTGTATTCTGATGTACTAAGATAAATTACTAGAGACAGGCATTGTCTTCAATTTTAGCTAATAGGTATGTGGTGGAAAAAACAGTATAATACGAAACTTTTAAAAAAGCTCCTGCTGATGATGATGACTCAAAAATGAGCTAATCCCCAAGGATATACTAGACAAGCTAAGCGAGCGACACACATGAGTCATGAGTATGCCATTCCCTGACTTGGCCCTTACCCTGCAGTAGGGAGTGCACAACTCAGGGCGAGCAGTTCCAACCAATTCAATCACCCATCACACCCTCCTCACCTGATCTTGCATTATTATATTTAAATCAAATCCACAGTGCATCGGCAAGCGACAATGCAGGACAGCATCACATGAGTCATGACTGAGTAACTATGACATCTGCTAGCAGCCTCCCTGATCTGATCCGGCCTCAGATTGACACACCAGCGGCAGTAATTGACCCTACAGCCTGGGCTTGTTTTGCTTCGTCATAACTTCATAAGAATCACACTTTGTTGATGTCGATTGGGAATGTCTTGATGCCATGCAGTAATTAATTAGTTAATTATGAATGACATCGTCAATTTGACATACCCTCACCTCCTTGGCCTCTTGATGCTCACACAAGAAATGTCTGTAGTGGTTTTAATGAATCTAGCCTTGACCAGCAGGACCACCTCGCTCCTCGCCGACTTCAAGATCCGGACATGCTCGTCTCAGCTCAGGCTCGGTGTCACTGGTTGAATCAAATAAAATAAAATTCAGTGAGACTTTTCTGCAGGGTCTGACAGTCTCAGCTCAGTAGACAGGTGGTGTGTCGCTGTTGGCTGTGTCAGTCATTGATTTCATGCACCTTTGACCGCTGCCTGAAGATCTGATCTCAGTGACGTGAGTGCTGACCGTCCGTATCAGCTAAGACTTTAAGAATCAATACCCAGGCCCATCGAGGCCACTGCTAGTGATGTTAAAAATTTGATAAATATGATACTCTCGATAGTAAATGATTTCATGGGTGCATCGATCATCCAACCCATCAATGAAGTAGCTTTCTGGCTAGGGGAGACACCCAGTATTATTGAATATATTATTCAATTTAGGACTGGCTGAGGCCCGGGAAAGAAATACATCATCAGACTATCTCTGTCAGACAGTACAGTACAGGTAACACTAAATTGTGTGGAATACTGCAGCTCACTTCTTCGCAACCCACCAACAGCTTTTCCCGGCCTTGGCCTCATTTGTATCATAACATGTAGATTATACTCACTTGTTTGACTGGGGGAATACGGGACCATCCAGGTTTTAATCTAATATCAATTTATTATTCGCGGGTTGAATTAACAAACCCATCCCAAGGGAGTAGTTCTCCAAGTGGGTGTAGTTAAACATTTAAACGGAGTGGTTCTCCAAGTAGCTACAAGGGAGTAGTTCTCCGATCCAATAATAATACAGGGGAGTAGTTCTCCAAGTGGGTGTAGTTATTATCCCGAGCCGGGCTGAGTCAGCCATGGCCTACGAGAGGCGAGTTGAGGACTGGGTAAAGGCCATCCTGGCGGAGGTCCGCCAGGATGGCCTTGCCTGGATCGAGCTCCGCTGTCAGGAGCAGGTCTTGGATGACCTGCGGGATGCTGGGATCTGGCTGCTGCAGCACCTGCCCAGTTACATTGGGCGCAGTTGCGTCCTGGAGGTGATCGACACGGCCGCCACGCTCTCCGATGCTATTGGGAGCGATGGATGGGGGCCAGGGGGCAGTGGCCCCCTTCCGCCCCCGGATTCGCGGGTGAAGTTCACCCGAGGAGTTGGTGCAGTGGGGCAGGTGCCCCAGAGCCGGGGAGACAGTTTCTGGGCGACTTGCACCAGAAACACACGCTGGAATGCTTTCCCGGCGACTTACCTGTTGCAGAAGGGCAAGGATGCCATGCACAGGCTCCGGAAGTTTCTGGAGATGGGAGGCACAGACTGTCGGGCAGCAGTTGCTGCCTCTGGCTTTGCTGGAGGATTCCTCCACGATTGCGACCAGTGTGCTTGCGATGGCGGTGGAGGATCTCCCTGACGAGGCGCCCGAGGACGAGCAGCAGCAGGGGGAGCAGTCGCTCCGGGAGCAGTCGCTCCGGGAGCAGTCGCTCCGGGAGCAGTCGCTCCAGCCGTCGTCCTCAGGGGTCCAGCAGGGGGAGCCGTCGCTCCAGGGGGGGCAGTCGCTCCAGCCGTCCTCCTCGTCGTCGGGAGGTTATCACAGGCCCACTGAGACGGTGCGAGTCATGGCCCGGATCATGGAGATGGGCAGGGGCTTGTCGTCCCACCCGCGGGGGCAGGGGCCCCCGGTGGTCGTGGATGTTGACGATGAGGATGAGGACTGAGGAGATGGTCAGGGACGAGTCGTCCCAGGATGCACAGAGGGACGTGTCGTCCCGGGATGCACCCGGAGACCCGGGAACAGGAGGGGGAGTCTCCCTAGTATCTCACTGTAAATAATTATAATAATTAATAAATTTTTAAACAAAAATAATGGTAATTGATATTAAATATCAAAACTTGAATGAGACAAAATACTAAGATAACATACTTCCAAGTTCACCAGTCTATGCAGCACAGATCATCTCAGAGAGACTCCCGGACTCCTGGCGAATCACTCAAATGAGGGGCCTCGACCAAAATGATCATCAGCCGAGTGAGTGCGAGTGTGTGAGTCTAATTATGAGTCTCATCCGATTCATCTTATAATATAAGACCCTGCCAGGCCACGACATGTTGGTCATCCACCTGGAACAACAGCTCAGTGGCTTGCCGAAATTTTCATTCGACCTGTCTGTCTGACTGACCTGCATCTCTGTGCTTAGCTGTCCCTGAGGTCCGGTGGCTGACAGCATCCTCGCGATGGACGGAGTCATCGTCATCCTCGTCTCGTCGTCATTATTCGTCCGTTTCGGTTCGTCAAGAGTCCTCATAAGCCATCATAACTAACTAACAGACAAACAAACAAGCAAACAAACAAACTAACTAACATTAATATTAACCGCAAATGGGCTTCAGCATATTATATTCGAGTCCAGGGGGGCTGAGTCCTGGGATATGATTTCATTTAAACAATTTAGGGGTTGAGGACTTAGTCTTAAACTAATTATGAAAATGATGCCTCAGGCTGGCTAGGGTTGACGACCTAGGTTGGGCATGTTGGGGGCTAAGGGCTTAGGGGCAGATTGTCCGGTCCTGTCCTCTCTTGGCTTCCTCCTCTGACTCATGTTTGCTGTTCTGCCTCTACTGCTTACTGCTGCCTGTTTCTGGGATGTTTGTCTTCTATTTGTTTTGCACATTTTGGACTTATATACAGATTTCCTTTTTCCTCAGGAACCATCATTGATTTAAAACACTTCGTATTATACCACCCACGAACCAGGTTTTCTCAGATTTATGTTTTGCAGGACTGTTTTTCTACCAGTTTTAGTTCATTTTGCACACCGTCAGATTCCTAGACCCATCAAAACATGCTTATGTCACTTCCCACGAACTTGTGCTAAATAGCAACATGGTATATTCCCTAACTTCTTGACACGTATGTTCATGCTGAACATGTTGGGCCTTGAAACCGTTTTGCATTTGCGAATGAAAACAGAGAACCTTCTCAGAAGCATGTTTTCCCAATTTTGCTTCTGAGAAGGGGCGCCGTGTCAGCCCAGCCCCCCCAAAGTTGTCTCAGTTTTTGCCTCCTCCTGAACCGCCTTTGGGCCAGTCTTATGTGCGCGCCCTGCCCGCCAAATGGCGAGCGGTGGTTGTCACACTGGCGCGTGCCATCCATGGGGGGTACCAGGGCTTTACATTACCTCTTTGTTTCAACGGCCAGTCCAAAAGTCAAGCCTCCCAATTCGGCTATGACCAATGGTCGTCAGTGTACGAGGATGTATGGCATGATGCGGCTGAACAGAAAAGGGAATATCAAGGATATGATGGAGCAATTGTGCCTCACGTGGTCAATTTCGCCGAAAACAAACCCAAGGAGGGCCTGGTGATCCAATTCCTCGACCACGATGGAGGGTTGGTCCATACTTACAAGAATCCTTACAGCCGGTGGAAATACCGTATCACTATCAAAGATGCTCCAAAGGCAGTGACGGTGTGGACATTGGTAGGAGTCGATGAGGAGAACTGGTGGAATGAGTATGCTCCTGGCAAGGACTGCATTGCGCAGCATGCTCCCGATTCTCACTACGACCCTGGGTTGCAAGTGAATGTTCTGAGTATGGGGCGAGAAGTTGACGACGCCATGTGTGCTTACCTCTTTGATGTGGTGGAAGCGAGGAAAAACAACCCTAACTCCGTGATCTTCATTGGCGCAGGGGTGTTGGGCAAGAATTCGTGGCTGAGTCGGAAAATCGCTGACAACCCTGAAAGGGCCAAATTGCGGACAGACTACCCATGGGGGGAGGTCGTCCAAAGAATTGCGCGCAGAGCGGCATCATGGGGGTTCCAAATCATCATCGAAGTACCTCCTCGAGTACCAGTCCAGGAAACCAAGCAGTACAAGGGACTTCAGGAAGATGCCATGTGGAAGAGCATCAAGATCCAAGGATGCACTCACGGGCAACGTTATACCTTTCGGGATCCTGTATCTCCCGGAACCGCCGTTGAGCTCGGCTACTGCAAGGATGAATGGGAGTACATTGCCACAAACGTCGCGTTGCATCCTAAGTCGTCTGACGTGTGCTCGTCCAAACATTTGCACATGACCGATTCGGACGCTAAGGATCGATCTGATAAATGCGAGTTGACTAGCCAAATCTCCAGGAGATTGCTTAAAGCCTTGAAATTTCAGGCAACGGGCGATGGGAGATTGGTAGCAATGCCGTCGAAGGCTGGTGGACGAAAGCCTGACCGCATGATTGTTGACCTCTGTGGCTTGGGCAATGGCTACGCCGTGCCTAAGTCCACTAAGGGATGCGCTCGCATAACTTGCAAGGAGCTAATTGGCTCTAAGGCCGATGAGGACAGCCTTATCGGTGCAATGAAGGATGCGTGCCGGAATGACCTGCGCACACCTGTGCTATTCGTGGCATCGCTTTTGCGATCAGGTGTTGGTCCTGGAAGTAGTGAAGGGGCTTGCGTGGGGGGTGAGAAACGTTCCGGTGGGAAGTACAAGGTTTTCAGAAGTGTCTTGAAATCTCTCAAACGCCTGCTGAAGAAGTGTGCGGAATTTTCCGACGTCTATTTTTCGCTTGACATGCCTTCTTCATGTTCATGTTGGTCTTGGCCAGAGTTGCATGCTCTTGTTTCAAGTGGCAAGGTGACGAAGGTTAAGATTGATGACCATGTTGGTGCTGGTGGCGATGGTGGTGGACGCAGGATCATGTTCTCTAACATGCCTGAAGCGGATCGTTTGATGGTGAGAATGGATGATTGCTTGGACCATGAATCGAAGAGCAGTTTGTCGCAGCGCATTGATGTGTCATGGCGGTCGATTGCGAGGAATGTTCGCAGCCTTGTTCGAGCTCATGTCAGTGTCAGTCATGTTGCACATGAATCTGAGGACATTGCATGGCAGCAACGTCAGTGTATAGACGCTGATGAAGGGGCTATAACACAGCCCCAACTAAGGAACAACTAAGGTCTGACCCGACGGATCGGGGAAGGGTGCCTCTTACAGAGCACCCGGAACCGTGAAGTCGAGTAGGGTGTAGGTACTTCTCTCCTACGGAGGAAGGACCGAATCCCGAGCCATGGGTGAAAGCTACAATGCATACGAGCTGGCCTTTGAAGGAGTGGACCATGAAGAAGTTTTCCCTTCTGGTGGGATGATGCGGACGTTCCTGAAGTTTCACAAGTTTCTGCAGATGTATTCTGAGGACTCGTCGCAGAGCGTTTCGCTCCCACCGAAGATTACGAAAGACAAAGTGGTCGACAATGATCTCATTCGCACATGGGCAGCTTTCAAAGCACCTCCTTTGGTCTTGCTGTTCACGTGTGCAAATCTGTCGCCAGGAGGGGATCTTTCCATTCGAGTCCGAGAAATCCTCAAGGCTTGCTTATTTGCCGCCCCGGAGGAGTACATGGACAAACCCTATGGGGAGATCCTCGCCATGGTCATCAAGTTTGGTGGAGGTCTCAAACACATTGTTGCTGACTACGGAGGGAAGTTTCATGCCATCACAAGATTTATGGTGGATGAGGAAGTGATCCGCGATGATGCAAAGTTGGCTGTGGTTGAACTGGAACATGAAAGAAAACAAGTTCGGTTCGACTTGAACACTGCAACCAGGAACATCGTCAGCGCGGACGTGTACTACAATCTCGCCGTTCTCATCAATTCCGTGGAGACGCCCTACCAGGCCGTGACAGACACGAGAATTCAACAATGGTATACGGTGAATCAGGACTACTACCACAAGTTGCCTATGTCAGGCAGAGCACCTGACCAATCCGACCTGTTGGGAGAGCCTACGTTATGTAGGGTGTGCAAGCTGATGTACATGTTCGCAAAGCACACTGGGTATGGGCTTCGGACCTACAACCAGGAATGTGCAGCGGGCAACGATGGCGCTACGCCAATCAACGTTCACCAGCTGGCTTTGATGATGCGCACATTGCCTCAAGGCATTGGACATCCGCTCGCCTTTGCGATGAACTCACTCCAGGCGTTCAGTGTTTGTCTCCACGTGCTTCATTCCTATGTATCATGGATTGATCCACAAACTGGACTCCCGCATTATCGATGGTCTAATGACGTGCTCCCCGATTCCGACTACACCACGTATGCTTTCCTCAAGTACCATGTGGATGCCGTATGTGCAGCTCAGGACAAGAACGGTTTCCAATTGCCGGATGCGTTCCGTGGCTACACCTGGAATCAATGCGGAGTTGAATCTGGGTACGTGGTCGACTGCTCTACCAAACGCGCCACATTGGGCATATGGGAAGCGGAATTCCAACAGATGAGGGCACCAAATCCGCTTATGCAAGATGATGGCCTATTTCCGCCCAACCTTCAACGGCATCCTAGCTGGGTATACTCAACGGGGAGAGTTGCGATGCCTACGGCAAGCAACCTCGAACCGGAAGGAATCGTGCACCCTGAGCATGGAAGAACGCCGGAACAATCGCAAGGATCCGCTGCCGGACCTCGAGCCACCCCTAGCCACGGACCAAAGAGGGCAAGGACGGACGAGGCAACGGCATCGGCGTCGTCATCTTCTGCGGCACCTCCTCCACAACAACCGCCTTCGCAACCGGAAGAGGAACCATCGCAACCGACATGGGAGGAAGCTCCAATCCCTGCTGGCGCTCAGGAAAGTTGGTACCATTATGTCAACATCGATGAGAAGGGCTGTCGTTCGATCTTGCTAACGACGACCCGTGATCACGACGAGTA